ATGTAGCCACGAATCGTAATTAATAAATTATAGTTATAGAGCCTAATTAAGTTATTTTTAGTGGCTATTTGCGAAATTTCCTCTATAATATATTTTGAAATTTTAATTAATTTTTGATATCTTTACTACTCAGGAGTTTGATAGAAAAACAATAAAACATTGTTTATCTCGTTGGAGAATTGAGACATATATAAGGTGTCTAAAGAAAAGGTGCTCTCAACTTGCTTGGACAAAGACAAAACAATATTGCTCTCCTTAAACGTGTGTACATAGCTTAATCTACTATATGTTGTATTCGATGTGGAGAATTTTTTTTCTTTTTAAATTGAGTATATATTTGAAATATGTCGATAATAAAATATTATGTTATGTTAATTCAGTGAATGAATACATAAAGGGAACACATACAAAGTTCTTGTGCTATCATCAGTATCTCATCAATATAACGTTAATGGATTTGACATGATCCCTACCTTATTATATATATATATATATATCATATATTTACCTTTTTAATTAGTTAATGTTAAATAACTCACATTTCAAATATGATATTAATTTGTATTGGATTTATTTAGTAACAAACAACTCTCTCTAAATAATTTGTAAGCTAATTTATTTAAATAAATTTACTATTAAAAATATAAAACATAAAATCAAGAAAATAATTAAAATGATTTGAGGGATATTTTGTCTTAACAAACTTATCCCATGGTATTATATTCTATGTATTACTAATACCTCCAAATGGAAAGTATTAGTAATACATCCTATAATACCATGTAGGCAGTGGCGGAGGCAGGAATTCTATCAAGGGGGTTCAAATAAAAAAAATGTTGTTGTCTGGAATCGAACCTGTGACCCAAAGCTCACATAGGCTGAATCCTGACCCCCATAAACCACTGAGCTACTCCTTTGACATATGCTCAGGGGGTTCAATTTTAAATATATACACGTACACAAAAAAATTGATCTTATATATATAGTGTAATTTTTTTTCCGAGGGGGGTCGGATGACCCCCCTGGACACACTATAGATCCGCCCCTGCATGTAGGAGGTATAATTAATTCATGAATTAGTTATACATAGGCTCAAATTCCTACCAAACATAGTACAAAATGATACCATACATAATACATGGACGATTTGTTTTAATGTGGCCTACCAAACGACCCCAAGTACATTGAAAATCATAGTAGTCATGAAAGTAAGATCTATATAGACTTATTTACTATTCCAAGCATTTGCATTTGGTCTATTGCATGTCAAGTTTAATAACTACATGCCTTAATTATTAGCCTAAATATACTTAAATTGCTCTAGGACTAGTTTAATTTGACATATTTAATGTTATGTGGATAGTATTTTTATACTAAATCTAAAGTATTGCATGATAAATTTTACTAACATTTAAAAATAATCTAATAATGCCTATATAAGACGTAGTAAGTCAGAAAATCTAATAGTCTTTAGTCAATATTATCATATGAATCAATTAAAAATAAAAGTTCAAATGCTGACCTATAATAAAGAAAATAAAATTAGAAAATATAACACAATATAAACGTGAACAAAATCTCTTTACCAAATTGGACCTATTTGCAACTCATTTTTTCTAACAACTTGCACAAATATATATTTCTAAAGATTTTGCGGAGAGGGGTGAGTTGTGTACGTCAACGAATTTGTAGGTCGATAAATCACTGAATTTGAAATCAAACTTTCTCTGCCTTAGACGAATAGAGACTGGTCCTTTCCCAAGACTAATATAAGTCAATAATATTGTTATTTGATTAGGACTTAGGAGAATACTAAAACTAATGCGACCATGCTTATAATAACTTCTCACTACATCAATTAAATATTTGGAGAGTACAAGATTTTCATTTGATTCTATGTAAAATTAATCAATTAAGAATCTTAAATTTATTGCTAAACAGGGATGAAATGAAAAACACTATCATCTAATTTCTTTTTTGCACTAAATATGCTCAAAAATCCTTTTGGATAAGATTAAATTAGTACTATCATCAGAGTTATTTGGATAAACTTCAGATTAAACCTAAGACATTATACAGTAAATGATATTTAACAAATTGTGTGTGATATATACGTTTTGCAAATGATATTTGTAATTTGAAGTATTTTTCTAAATATGATTTATATTCCCTAATTTTAAAAAGTAACAAAATCACTCAAATTAACTATATGATATGTACAATTGAATCTGCTCTAAAAGAGTAATATGTTAAAATAAAAAATAGTCATATAATGTCATAGATTAGATCTCATATACAAGTTACTACATATAAAATGATACCATACATAATACATGGACGATTTGTTTTAATGTGGCCTACCAAACGACCCCAAGTACATTGAAAATCATAGTAGTCATGAAAGTAAGATCTATATAGACTTATTTACTATTCCAAGCATTTGCATTTGGTCTATTGCATGTCAAGTTTAATAACTACATGCCTTAATTATTAGCCTAAATATACTTAAATTGCTCTAGGACTAGTTTAATTTGACATATTTAATGTTATGTGGATAGTATTTTTATACTAAATCTAAAGTATTGCATGATAAATTTTACTAACATTTAAAAATAATCTAATAATGCCTATATAAGACGTAGTAAGTCAGAAAATCTAATAGTCTTTAGTCAATATTATCATATGAATCAATTAAAAATAAAAGTTCAAATGCTGACCTATAATAAAGAAAATAAAATTAGAAAATATAACACAATATAAACGTGAACAAAATCTCTTTACCAAATTGGACCTATTTGCAACTCATTTTTTCTAACAACTTGCACAAATATATATTTCTAAAGATTTTGCGGAGAGGGGTGAGTTGTGTACGTCAACGAATTTGTAGGTCGATAAATCACTGAATTTGAAATCAAACTTTCTCTGCCTTAGACGAATAGAGACTGGTCCTTTCCCAAGACTAATATAAGTCAATAATATTGTTATTTGATTAGGACTTAGGAGAATACTAAAACTAATGCGACCATGCTTATAATAACTTCTCACTACATCAATTAAATATTTGGAGAGTACAAGATTTTCATTTGATTCTATGTAAAATTAATCAATTAAGAATCTTAAATTTATTGCTAAACAGGGATGAAATGAAAAACACTATCATCTAATTTCTTTTTTGCACTAAATATGCTCAAAAATCCTTTTGGATAAGATTAAATTAGTACTATCATCAGAGTTATTTGGATAAACTTCAGATTAAACCTAAGACATTATACAGTAAATGATATTTAACAAATTGTGTGTGATATATACGTTTTGCAAATGATATTTGTAATTTGAAGTATTTTTCTAAATATGATTTATATTCCCTAATTTTAAAAAGTAACAAAATCACTCAAATTAACTATATGATATGTACAATTGAATCTGCTCTAAAAGAGTAATATGTTAAAATAAAAAATAGTCATATAATGTCATAGATTAGATCTCATATACAAGTTACTACATATTATTACAAATGTTTTTTTTTTTGTTGCAAAAACTACATAACTAAGCAAACATCTTAGTATAACTACTAAATCACACACTACTTTAAAATAACTACCCAATCACACGCTACTCCTAACGTCTTAGGTATTGCATAAATACTTTCTCTCTCTCTCGCCTCTCTCGACTCATATTCCTAGTTTTGTGTTGCGTTTCTCTCTCGAAGAGGAAGAGAGAGCAACTAAAGATTAGTGGACTAATGCAGTTCTATGAAGACAATGGAAAAGATACAGACAATAATGTCTCTTCTCCTTACATTGATTTCAACCGGGGGATAACAAGGGTTGTGGTGGAGTAGTTAGTACTCTTTCATCCTTAATCAAGTTGTCTCGGGTTCAAGCCCTCTTGATGAACTTATAATGGCTATATAATTGATACCAAATAGTCATTGAAGGGGGCATGTACCTGGATAACTATATCTTCTTTTTCTTCGTCTTCTAAGGATGTATCTATGCACATATACATTATATACATCACCAATTTGATATCAGATACATGTACCTTTGATATTAAATAGATGTATTTATACATAGATATACTAGATACATCGAATATATCAATACATTTTTTATATTGGATACATGAAATTAATACTTCTCATGTCCCAATTTATGTAATACTTTTCGTTTTTCGGGAGTCAAACAATTTTATTTTGAGTGGAAATTTACGTAGGGAATCTTCAATTTTTTTGAAATATATATATATATATATTAAGATGACAATTATTTATCCTCAAATAATTCAAGTGGAAAAGTAGCAAACATGACAACAAAATTGTTCTTCTCATAGCTAGTTAGAAGGCCATAAAAAATAATGTTATCCGATAATTTTCTACCTTGACCCAATTACATAATAATTCAAGGGTATAATTGGAAAGAAATTTTTATAGAGTTTTAATCCAAACACAAGATGAGATGGAAAACAATGAACCAAACACTTGATAAAAATAAACCCTGCACTACTAATCTCTGCGTTATTAATCTTTGTACCAAATGACCCCTAAGTGGCTTGTGTAGTGCCTCTCGGGGTTATATACGCCATGTTACGCCTAGGCAGTGGTGGAGCCACCTTATAATAAGGTGGTTCATCCGAACCTCCTCAGCGGAAAATTATATTATTTGTACATGGTTAAAATAATTTTTTTTAGGTAGATATAGTAGATGTCGAACCCTCTTCGACTATTTCGTGTGTCTATTTCTTCAGATTTTGAACCCCCGTATTTAAAATTCTGACTTCGTCACTGCGCCTAGGACATGGTAAATGACTTTGTCACGACCCAAAGCATGCAAAACTAAATCAAAAAACCGAATACACACCCAACATACAAAATAAGTAATTATTGAAACTATCATTACATTCAATAATTAACACCTATATATCAAAACTAGCACATTTACCCCCATTCTTTCCTCTAAAGAGCTAAATCCCCTTTTAACGGCTAAATAGTGTAAGAACTAGAAACAAACACCCACCAACAATAGTGCGCACATTAATTTCCGTGTGCTCAAACGGTGCATATTAGACTTTAGCAATCACCTCCCGCCACGTCATTTAACGTCACACACCTAATTTCCCGCAACCCTTCTACTACCACCCTAGGGGGGTTTCAGGGTGGGTGGTTTTGTTGGGTGGGTGGGTATCGTCTCTTTCATTGTTTTTCCATTTTTGGGTTCTTTCGGTTCTTCTTCTAATAAACACTCTCTGCAACAAAGTATAAAAGGAGTATTTTATTGAGAAAAAAAAAATAATGAAATTTCAAAATTGAAAATTAACATCCCAATTTGAGTAATTATTTATTTCCAATACTGTCCCCCATTTCGTATCAATGGCTCCATCCAGCTCTGCGTCGCCGGCGGCGGGTTTATCCAGACCGGTAGCTCAAAGGAAAGTCCGTCCATCAGCTGACTACCGGCGTCGACCGCGGATGTCAGTGTCGCCGCCGCCGAAGAAATTCAGGTCGATGGTGGAGATCATGAAAGTAGCGAAGCGTGTGGAGTTACCGGTGGAAGAAGAAGAAGAAGACGATGAGGAATCGGAGGAGGAGGAAGAAGATGATTACGGAGAAGTTGTGTGTGAACAATGTGGCTCTGGAGAAAGGCCAGAGGAGTTGTTGCTGTGTGATAAATGTAACAAAGGGTTTCATATGTTATGTCTTCGTCCGATTGTAGTTCGTGTTCCCATTGGACCATGGCATTGTCCTCATTGCTCTGGTGATCAACATCGCATAATCAAAAGTATGGACAAAGATAAAGAAATGAATTTAAAAAAAAAAAATTGATTATGAGTCAAAATGATATAAATAATGTGTTTGTATGTTGTTTAGGTTTTTCGCAAAAGAAGATAGTCGATTTCTTTCGGATTCAGAAAGAGAGTCAAATGGTGGTGAAATGTTCATCTGCTCAAGGTAAATGAAACAATGTGATCTTTATATCGGGAAAGGTTATAATGTAAGCTCAATTGAGATCACAAGATCACAATCTGAGTGTTTAGGTGTTTTGGTTGATCGATATCTATGTATACTTCTGTTATACTAGAGCTGATTGATTGATGTCTGTACTTTTTGTAATGCTAACTTATGTTTAGAGCGGAAGATGTAGGAATCATATAGCAGATTAGGAATCTAAGCCCGCAAACTTAAGCGTGAGTTGAGGTTATTCTTTTACTAGAAAAAGCATACTCAAAGCAAGGGGCGGGGAAGGACATGAATCTTTCCCTCTTACAAGTAGAGAGGGGAAGTGCAAGATCATCCCTTTATATAGTAGCGAGTGTTTCTTTATCTTTTCGGGGAAGTGCAAGATCATAATCTTTTCAGGTAAGTGCAAGATCATCCCTTTATATAGTAGCGAGTGTTTCTTTATCTTTTCGGGTAGGTGCAAGATCATCCCTTTATATATTAGCGAGTGTTTCTTTATCTTTTCAGGTAAGTG